TTATCACTGATACTGCTTGTTATATATTTATTTGTTACCTATCTTTCTTGATCTAATTTGCTTTCACTTGACAAGCAATAGCACTTATTATCAAAATTATTTCTGATACCTAAAGCGAAAGAATTCACCTATTCTTAACTAATATTTATATTTTTTATGATTCCTCTTCCTGCAGCTATTACTATCTCGTAACACTTTAGTCCGCGACAGATCAAGCTATTTCTCAATAGCCACCCATGAAAAGGTCAAAATCAATTACACCTCAACAGTCGCTCGAGAACTGATACGACCGACCATTTTCATAGTGACATTGCGCTCTGCACGAGAACAGCGAACAGCGAATTTGTGTACGTATACACATATGTATGTACATAATATGTATGAAATAATGATCGTGCGTCCGGAAATTTTTCATTTATTACACACGCTTTTGTCTACGTCCTTAAAATGCAGATCACTCGATGCATGTACCTGTAAAGAAATAAGTTGCCGAGACATGCTGATCGTGACTAATCCGACCTTCACCCTTGCCTCGTTTCACCGACTGGTCATTTCTCCTATATGCTACTAACTTGGCAGTGAAGCCGGTCTGGTAGTCGGAGTCCAGGTGTTAGAACTGCGGAAGAACATGATAGACCGTGGACTTTACACATCTACGATAAAGGCGGGTAACGGAAATGTTGGACAGTAGAAACATTAAAAGTACTTAGAAACATTAACGTATTATTTTCAGCTTATCAAAATTGTTACAAAGAGAAATGAATTCTCATTTGACGGCAAACCTTCCCAATTAAAGTATAACCGATAACCAGTATGTTTTTAGGTTCAATTGTAATTTGATTTAATAATTTTTTCAATGTATCTTTGAGGTATTCCTCCGAGATAGTTGTCTTGCGGGCTTTAATGACACATGGGAGAATTTAAATTAGCTGATGAAAATTTGATCTTCGAATAACAATTTTTTTAAACACTGGATGCAAATGGACCCGGGTCCCGTCATTCCAATGTTAAAACACTACAGTTTAATTAGAATAAAAGAATGTTTATTCTTATACAGAAATGATTATTAATGTATTGGTCTCATTTGAAAACAATTCGCAATACGTAATTTGAAGAGGATATTAAACAAATTCTAAAGACTGGGGAATCCAATATAATTTGATGAAGTCAAGGATAAAACAAGTGGAATTTCCTGATTTTTTTCCAAATTTTAGATAAATTTCTCTCATACAGTCAAGCAATATCTTTTTAAACCGTACCACATTCCCTTTTTACATTCTTCATTCTTCATATATAAAAAAATATTTTATATTTTTAATATTTATATATATATTTATTATATTATTATATATATTTTATATTATTTTATATTATTTAATATTTATATATATTTATTATATTATTATATATATTTTATATTATTTTATATTATTTAATATTTATATATATTTATTATATTATTATATATATTTTATATTATTTTATATTATTTAATATTTATATATATTTATTATATTATTATATATATTTTATATTATTTTATATTATTTTATATTTATATATATTTATTATATTATTATATATATTTTATATTATTTATATATAATATAAAAAAATAAACTTATTTTAAATACCGTAGTGGACGAGGTCATCACACACACACACACACACGCGCGCGCGCGCACATATATATATATATTAGAGACCAGGTAAGTTTGTTAATAATTCACTGACAGCATTAT